GGCCGGGAGGCCGGTTTGTATTGTCTAATGACAAAAAAACTGTGAATGTTGTATATAAAGACATTCTGTAGTATATTTAGTATGTTCAGGGGGTATCTTTTGAAGATTTCCCCTTTTCGATAATAATCTAAACAAAACAAAAATATATTTAGTATCAGCATTGCACCCGTGCGAAGCTGGGCCGGGTCACTAGTAATACCATAAGGTAAAATTTAAAACGAAGGCTCAGCCTAATTGCAAAATATTTGAGAAAGTTTTTGCGTTTATAAAAATTCGCAATGAAGTTACTATTTTAAATTTAAGAAACTCTTGACCTACACTAGTGAATGAATACGTAAATAAAATGTTGATGGCGCGTCTTCTTAAGCAACAACTCCATTTGTGGTTTATTTATGAGAACTAACCTGTTTTTATTCGATTGCAAAAGACAGAAACAAAGAAGAAATATGTAGCACACCGTAGGTGTTGTGCTATTGTATGATTCCTTAAGTGTTTAAATAAATTTCGACAAAAACAAACATTAAACAGAGTGGAGTTTTGTACCTAAAGTTCCAACTATACTAAGAATAATAAGTCCAGGAAAGTACACATAATTTCCACTTTACTGAACTCTTAACAATTGTTTCACCCTAAATATAAATTTAAATAGAGTATATAAATTAAATATACATAGGACAAACTGAAAGATCGTTCAATGAGAAAATACAAGAACATTTTAAAAATTATAATGGAAATTCAGCTTTTATTAACCATATTAAAAACAAAAAAATTATTTTAGAAGAGAATTTCAATATTTTACATAGAGAAAAAAGGAAAAAGACTAGCCATGTTGGAAAAACCTTCGAAATCAAAGAACACATGAAAAATAGCAACTCCGTTTTACTGAATAAAATTGAAAATGTTTATAACTGAATAATTTGAGATAAATTAGTAGATGTATCCTCACTACAAATGAGTATATAGGAAACATAACCAAAACTTCTTCTGAAGATGACCTGGTAGGATGAAACAATTGTTAAGAGTTCAATAAAGCATCTAAGTAGACACTAAGTGTGTTTTCGTGGACTTATTATTCAAAATGATTCCTAGTTTTCCTAAAATAAAGGCTTATTATACTAAAGCAGACTTTTATATTCAGTTATTAGTTAATAAATTAGGCACGTAATACATCATTAGATTTTATTATTCAATGGTTTCTTAACGTTTATTTTATTTTGCGTTTATATCAATATAGATTTCAAATAGTTTCTTGTTTATATCTGCAAGTTGCTTTGCGCAGTAGCGAGCTCCAGATCAATATTTCACCCNATGTTCAGGGGGTATCTTTTGAAGATTTCCCCTTTTCGATAATAATCTAAACAAAACAAAAATATATTTAGTATCAGCATTGCACCCGTGCGAAGCTGGGCCGGGTCACTAGTAATACCATAAGGTAAAATTTAAAACGAAGGCTCAGCCTAATTGCAAAATATTTGAGAAAGTTTTTGCGTTTATAAAAATTCGCAATGAAGTTACTATTTTAAATTTAAGAAACTCTTGACCTACACTAGTGAATGAATACGTAAATAAAATGTTGATGGCGCGTCTTCTTAAGCAACAACTCCATTTGTGGTTTATTTATGAGAACTAACCTGTTTTTATTCGATTGCAAAAGACAGAAACAAAGAAGAAATATGTAGCACACCGTAGGTGTTGTGCTATTGTATGATTCCTTAAGTGTTTAAATAAATTTCGACAAAAACAAACATTAAACAGAGTGGAGTTTTGTACCTAAAGTTCCAACTATACTAAGAATAATAAGTCCAGGAAAGTACACATAATTTCCACTTTACTGAACTCTTAACAATTGTTTCACCCTAAATATAAATTTAAATAGAGTATATAAATTAAATGTACATAGGACAAACTGAAAGATCGTTCAAGGAGGAAATACAAGAACATTTTAAAAATTATAATGGAAATTCAGCTTTTATTAACCATATTAAAAACAAAAAAATTATTTTAGAAGAGAATTTCAATATTTTACATAGAGAAAAAAGGAAAAAGACTAGCCATGTTGGAAAAACCTTCGAAATCAAAGAACACATGAAAAATAGCAACTCCGTTTTACTGAATAAAATTGAAAATGTTTATAACTGAATAATTTGAGATAAATTAGTAGATGTATCCTCACTACAAATGAGTATATAGGAAACATAACCAAAACTTCTTCTGAAGATGACCTGGTAGGGTGAAACAATTGTTAAGAGTTCAATAAAGCATCTAAGTAGACACTAAGTGTGTTTTCGTGGACTTATTATTCAAAATGATTCCTAGTTTTCCTAAAATAAAGGCTTATTATACTAAAGCAGACTTTTATATTCAGTTATTAGTTAATAAATTAGGCACGTAATACATCATTAGATTTTATTATTCAATGGTTTCTTAATGTTTATTTTATTTTGCGTTTATATCAATATAGATTTCAAATAGTTTCTTGTTTATATCTGCAAGTTGCTTTGCGCAGTAGCGAGCTCCAGATCAATATTTCACCCTTGGTTTCGAGTCAAACCCCCGCTTCCTTCACTCTGTTGTTGTTATTGTTTTTTGTTGTTTGTCCTACCCCGTACCGTACTTTCATTGTTTCGTATTAGAATCATGAGTCACCATGCAATTCGTGTAGCCACCAGGTTTCAAAAAACTTCCTTCGTCCTAACGCTGCAGCATTTAGGACCTTATAATCGCATTTCCTGTGCTTTTTATTCGCACAAGTCCGAACTTCTTTCCGCTAACGTCCAACGACTGCAGGTAATTGCAAAAGTATCTTCTTAGCTTTTGCCAATAATAATACGCAGATTTTTCGCTTTTTTTGTTGCTGTTTTCATTTGGTCAACGTCTTAAGAGTCCTCGCACGCAGTGTCGTCTTTTTTTGCAAAAATGTGCATCAAGAACATGCACGCTAATGCAGTAACTACAAAAAATTTCTCTATCACATCCTGGTCGATTTCAAAATCGTCGTCGAACATCGTGGAGAACGGTGAAGTAGTATTGTAGAATATACGATCAGGTTTAGCTGAATTTTGTAAAACCATTGAACGAAATTGAAACGGCACAAAAATTTGAATTTTTCTAAAATTACGTTGACAGTTACGAAATTTCTTTTGTTTTAAACAATGATTCAACGTACTCGGATTCAAGAGGGGTTAACTATTAAACAATTTTAGTATTTTGTCATCGAAAACTATGGGTCAGAACTGTAAGGCAGGGAATTGGAGAAATTACGAACAACTTTTAAGGAATTAAATTTAAACTTTGTTAGAAAAGTTAATTTCCTAGCTTTGTGGGCTAAAAACGTATTAACTAGTTAGGGATTTATATTAAAGGTGCATGTTTAGAGCACGGCATTGTACGGGTTCGAAACATGGACAGTGGGCGCGGCGGAAAAAAAAGGTTAGAAGCGTTCGAAATGTGGTGTTATAGGCGGATGATGAGGATAACGTGAGTAGAAAAGGTTAGAAATGAAGAGGTATTGGAAAGAATAGGAGAACAGAGGACTCTATGGGAGTCAATGGGAAATAGGCGAGATAGGTTGGTAGGACACTTTCTTAGGCATGAAGGTCTAGTCAGAGACATATTAGTGGCAGAAACAGGAGTTAGGAGGGTAGAGGTAGACCTAGGTTACATTACTGTTCGCAAATAGTTAAGGAAGTGGGAAGTTTAGCTCAGGATAGGAAAGAGTGGAGGTACGTGTCCAACCAGTCTTAGGACTGACGACCTTATGATAATGAGGGGTTTATATAACTCTACTTACTTTGTCGCACGGTCTGCACCCTATCAAAAGTTAGATTCTAAATACAGTCTTGAGACCACTTTAATCCATTTCCACGAAAGCCAGTTATGTTTTCGTAAAAGTCATGATACCAAATCAACTCAAAATTTTAGCAGGGCAGTCCTTTTTTGGCCCCTTTAATTCGGAAATACGATACAGCATGATTAAATTGTAAAACGGTTTTTGTGAAAACTAATCAATCAGTTAACAGTCCCATATGTCGTAACCCCGTCTGTCGTTCGTATCTAAATTTGATTCTATTGTTTCCGACACGTGTCATTGCATGGGCGTGAAACTGAAAGACATCGAACCTACCAGATTTATTTTCTCTTCTTTAATCTTATTTCTTTTTCGGATTTTAACCTAAATTTTACAAATCGTAAAAATCTAAACCTCTCATTGTGTTTGTTTTGGACCCTACTTCGATGCAGTAGGTGGCACTATCCTGTATCTGTTCACTATTATGGATTTATTGTAATACGATCAATATTATCTCAAGTCTAAGGCAATGATAATGTTTTAGCCATTGATCAGCATAAAATTTGCTGTAGTTTCACCGCAAATGAGATTCCGGCCGGACTACCTTAATTGTCGTAATTTCTGATAGTCACATGAGTGACTTGGAATATTTTAAACAATAGTGTTAAACGCGTAACAGTTACACAGTTGTACCCATTGGTAAATGCTTTCGTACACAGATCACGATGGCAACTAGCCAAAAGTTATCTTGTATTTTTATACGTTTGCTTCTACAAGTTGTTTGACGTCGAACAGTGCGGAAACAGTGGTGGCAACGTCAGTTAATCTATTTTTTTCGGACGCGAAACATTACCTACAGATACATATCTTTATCATCACGAAAAATTAAATTAATCTTCAGAAATACCTAAACATTTCAGAACAATAGTACCTGCAAGTTAAAATTATCGTAAACAATAAAACAAAAAATGATCGATTAGTGATCGTGGTTTTGTGAGAACAAGCCAAAGGGGGTGCTGACTGGTGAGAGAGAATTATGTCTGCCCCGTGGCCCGTGAAACGCGGTGTCTTCAGGGAAGGATCACTTTCCGATCCAACTCTGCTTTTCCGAAAGCACAATCTGATTCCTCCGAAAATTAGCATAGACTTTGCGGTATGGATCATTTCTAATCATAAACTAACAAAATACATAATAATAATAATTTAAGTATCTGCTGTAAAATTGGATACACACTGATGTGTCAAAATAGCTGGAATGTTTTGGCGGTTAATATTAATCTACAAATTGTCTGTTTTTATTTTGGTTTAACACCAACATTAATCTAAACTTAACTCGATCATATTTATTTATGGAATTTCAAAATCAAAATTCATCTTAGATTTGCCATCCGTCCATTTCATTGTTTTGTGTCATTGGTTTACATGATTTAGGTACTTGGTAAAACTTAATGTTAAATTTAACCTTTAGTTAATCAACACTTTTAAACACGTGGGTGCGTAAATCCTGACAAATTAGAACAGCTAATAGTACCTACCTACACTTACTATATGTACTAAACTACTAGAGCCCCTTAAAGAGGCTCTATTAGTCTAGGAAAACTCCAATATTGCAAAGTGTTTTTATATCAACTATCTACGTTTCTTATTAATTTACAAACATACGGTTTATTTGTATGCCAAAAATTGACGATCTATTTTTAATACAGCATAGAAAAATTTTTGTCGGAAATTTGTTATAGACACGTATTAAGCAGTTATTTTGAGACATGGCTCCATACCATCTGCCCTTTTGGGTGCTTAGAACGTATGTTTTTATTGTTATGAATCCCCGAACAAGTAACGGTTTAAAGTGAGACATGGTGCGCCCTATTGGTTTCATATCTCGCTTAAAAATAAGTGATTTTCACTAACTTTATACCATATCTGATGCTTAAATCAAATATACTATCTGCCGATAATAAAAGAGGCAGATTACATTTACCAGGGAGATGATGTAAATCCTGGGGCAGACAGTTTGATTTATTGTAGCAGCTTCGGTATCGACGATCTTCACAAATTTCTTGAAAACTCAAGTCGATATCGAAGTGGTTATAATAAACGAAACTGTCACCTCGTCATTTTCATAATTTTGCTAATAAATACCTTCCTATATCATTGGCAATCTTTCATTATCATTATAAGGTCGTCAATCCTAAGACTGGTTGGACACGCACATACACTCTTTCCTATCCTGACCTAATCTTCGCATTTCCCTAAAACTAGAACAACCTACATCCTTAACTATTTGTGAACAGTAATCTAATCTAGGTCTACCTCTACCCCTCCTAACTCCCGTTTCTGCCTCTAATATGTCCCTGATTAGACCATCATGCCTGAGAAAGTGTCCTACCAACCTATCTAACTAAAACTATCATAGTTAAAGCAATATCATATACAAACGTACATGCTATTTTACATTACAAACTACTTCATAATAAATATATGTAATAGAAAAATATTGTAGAAAGTGCATTTTTCACAAAATTCTTGTTATTTTTCTTTAGGAAGCACGGTCATTGAAGACGGGCGAGCTCAGTCAACAAGAGAAGAAAAATATGGCGCATACGAGTATGAAAGTTACCACAGACACCTTTAGTCATGAGAAAATCGCTTCCGAAGCCCAACAACAAAGACAAACAGTGACCGCAAGTGGCGTTTTTAATCAAGAAAAGCACTCGTCTTCTTCACAGTCAAATGTGACTTACACTTCGTCCTCGCAGGGCCTACACTCGTCGGCCAGTGCTATGCTAAAGGCTGTCGGAGCACAAGTACGTTTACGTCTGAATTGTTTATTGTACTAGCATAAAAATTTAAAATTGCAATTATTTTTTAATGCCATACAACTGTTAAAAGTCGTTTAACAAGTTTTATAGCATTTAATGATATGCCGCCAATATATTCACCTAATTGTCAGTCATTCCAACAGGACAAGGTTTGAAAATTACATCTTCCCATTAACTTTTGAATTATTACTCACATTAGAAATTCTCTTTTATAAAGTGTAAAACGTTCTTACAATAACTGGATAGGTAATGCAATATAATCATCATTAATTATATTGCTCCTCTTTTAATTTTTAAATCCTTGGAACGTACATAGGCAAGAAAAATAGTTTTCATCATCGTAATGCATGTAATTCTTCTTACCAAGGTAATTCAATTTTTGTCTTATCGGAATCTAATAATATTTTTTATTTCGAAGCGAATTAGACAATGAATACGGTTGTTAATCTTTCATATTACACACAATCTTGGTAACAATTTATATGCACATTAGTCAGAGACCAAGGTTACTGGCTATAACTCATTTTGTGATTATGAGTCGGTGTGATACTGTATCTACAGAGAGAACAAAATTATGCAAATAACACTACAATAAGAGTTCGCCCCTTTGAAAGCGATAGAGATATTCCCGATTCTATTAACGATTAATTTTGGTCCTTCTAGTTTCAGCTAATGAACGGTAAGCCGGAAGACGACTTACTAAACATGTCCTTTGACGATTTGGAGCAGTTGTCGTCAAATTCTAACGCCCAAGATGTGGAACGCGCCATACACAAATATTCCACGTACATGGACATGTTCATCAAAAGTCTGAAGAACAACGATCTGGGTAAAAAGGCCCCGACGATTCTAAACAAGATCAACGACATAATGCAAAAGGCATGGGCCGTTCCGACATACGGCCACGAATTGGGCTACTCCCTTTGCAACGCTTTACGAAACTGCGGCGGCCTGGACCTTATTATGACCAATTGTACGAACGACGATAGCGATTTACAATTTTCGAGCGCGAAACTTTTAGAACAATGTCTCACGACCGAGAACAGAGCTCACGTGGTCGCTAACGGTCTGGACAAAGTGGTAAACGTGGCCTGTAGGTGTACGAAACATTCGAATTCGGTGAAGCATTCGCGGGTGGGAACCGGGATCCTGGAGCACCTCTTCAAGCACAGCGAAGAAACGTGCAGTGATGTGATAAGACTCGGAGGTTTGGACGCTTTACTGTTCGAATGTCGGAAAAGTGACGTGGAAACTTTGAGACACTGTGCCGGTGCTCTGGCCAACTTGAGTTTGTACGGCGGAGCGGAAAACCAGGAAGCCATGATCAAGAGGAAAGTACCGATGTGGCTGTTCCCGTTGGCTTTCCACAATGACGACAATATCAAATATTACGCATGTTTGGCTATCACTGTGCTGGTAGCGAACGCCGAGATAGAAGCCGAGGTGCTTCAGTCGGGAACGCTAGGACTTGTTGAGCCTTTCGTCACGTCGCACAATCCGCTCGAATTCGCCAAATCGAACCTTGCTCACGCCCACGGTCAAAGCAAAACGTGGCTGAAACATCTTGTGCCGGTCCTCAGTTCCAAAAGGGAAGAAGCGCGAAATCTGGCCGCGTTCCATTTTTGTATGGAAGCTGGAATCAAAAAACAACAGGGAAACACGAATATATTCGCGGAAATAGGTGCCGTGGAATCGTTGAAAAAAGTGGCAAGTTGCCCGAACGCCGTTGCCTCGAAATATGCCGCACAAGCCTTACGCTTTATTGGCGAAGAAGTGCCTCACAAACTTAGTCAGCAAGTGCCTTTGTGGTCCACGGAAGACGTAGAAGAATGGGTCAAACAGATCGGGTTCTTCGAATACGCTCCCAACTTCGTCGAGAGCAGGGTCGACGGCGATCTTCTCCTTCAATTGACTGAAGAAAACTTACGGGACGATATCGGCCTTACGAATGGAATTAAAAGAAAAAGATTCACGCGAGAACTCCAAAACCTGAAAAAGATGGCCGACTACAGTTCTCGCGACAGTGCGAACATCAACAGCTTCCTCCAATCGTTGGGACCCGAATTTAGTATTTACACCTACAGTATGCTCAATGCTGGTATCGAGTCTAAAGAATCTCTACGAAATTTGGCCGAAGACCAACTCCTCAACGAATGCGGTATTGTGAACTCCATCCATCGATTACGAATAATGGACAGTATAAGACAGTTAGAGCACAGAATGGCCACGTTTAGCGACGAAAACATGGACAAATCCCTAGACGTTTTCGTCAGTTACAGACGATCGAACGGGTCACAGTTGGCCAGTTTGCTCAAAGTTCATTTGCAACTCCGGGGATTTACCGTATTCATTGACGTCGAAAGGTTAGAAGCTGGCAAATTTGACAACAATTTATTGCAAAGTATTCAAAAAGCCAAACATTTTCTACTTGTGTTAACCCCGAACGCTTTGGAGAGGTGCATAGGAGACTCAGATAGGAAAGATTGGGTCCACAGGGTAAGTCATCGCCGTGAATTTCCAGAGAATGTACGGGAGCATAATTTTATTCGTAATTTACAGGAAATAGTTGCTGCTCTTCAGGCGCAATGCAACATCATCCCAATTATTGACAATTTCCAGTGGCCCGAAGCTGAGGAGCTTCCTGAAGACATGCGGCAAGTGTGTCATTTCAACGGAGTCCGATGGATTCATGATTATCAAGATGCGTGCGTGGACAAACTCGAAAGGTATGTAAAAGAAAATCTTCAAGGGTCGATAAGTAGCATTCACTTAATACATGTTTTTGGTTAGGTTCATGCGTGGAGAGATAAATACACGAGCCGATGGTCTGAGGGACGGTTGCCGCGTTGGTCTTAACAAAGGGGACATGACTCCGAGCACTCCGTCCAATCCCGGGATGGTACGACAACCGCCCAACTATCAACGAATGCACAGTAACGATTCGGGAAGTGGCAAAGGATCTGATAAAGAAACGAACGGAACCTCGGGCTTGGGCAGGGACTGACTAGATGGTCCCCCAGCCTCGGTTGCCAGCTCACAACTTGCCAGGTCAGTACATATTATCATTTCTGCGTCTAATAATGGCATAATTACATTCCAAAGGTATTCCCCATCATAATACTAAATCCCCGCATCCTAATTCTAAGTCCGAAAACATACTGCCCTTCTATTTCTTTTCTAAAACCTTAAAAGTACACAATAAAATCTAAAAGGAGCGGTAAGTCTGCGTTCTCTCGGTAATTGCTCGCGCTGGCAGAGGAACGACGTCTCCGTGCCTAGCTCTTCACTTGGTCATTCGTTTAGTAATATTAAGACCTTTTCATTAACTTTTTGAAACATTAGAAAGCACTACAAGCAAATAATAATAATTTTATTTGCATTTTTGCATGGAACAAAAACTAATTATAACTGAAATATTTTTAATATAATAATAAATCTCGATAACATCCAGAAATTAGGTGAAGTGACTCTCTACCTACTTCACTCGAACAGTCGCCAATGTCATACGTAAAATTTTGCTGAATACAGTACAAATCGACCTTTCCAGAAATGTTTACGTATTATGAGACCAGGTAAAATAGGGCGAGAATCAAAAAATCAATATTGTTTGACATAGAATAACCCCAATATTTCCGATCCCATAATGCAATTAGCTAGTAATCCTACACATAATCAATTTCATCAATTTTTGCATTGATAAAAGTGTTTTTATTTAACGGATTTTTTATTTTCTATGTACAGGCTCTACAAATCATCGAGTCCGTCCCGTAACTGGCTAATGACATCTAACAGACATCCGAAGGGTTTACCACCACAGTATCCGGCAAGAAGAGGTTCTAATACACCGTCGACCGTAACCAATTCCGTACCAGTCACCCCTAATCGATCTCGCAGTTTGGACGGTTTACTTGACGGGGATGAACCGGTCGCTGCCGTTGTTACAAAAATTGTCAAAAATGAACATATTCCGTCCGAAGTTCCGCAAAAATCGCAAAGTTACGAAAACAGCATCGACTTAAATTCGGACAGTGTGATACAGCCGCCTCAAACTACCGAAGAAAGTAATGACGAGTTTGGTGAAAGAAAAGACGAACAATCAGCGATCGATAATGAAATTGTCGAGTGTTTGAACGAACTTAATACGAGTATTTCAAATAATTCCGATTTTGAAAAAAACTTAGATTCCAACGGCACCAAAAATGGTACGATAGGTATTAATGGTAGTGATGCGGCCAAACAAAAACCCAAATTATTAAATAGATGCGTTAGCAAAGTGAGATCTCTTATTAAAAAGTGACATATGTTTTGTTTGTTTTAGTTGTTTTATGAAAAGTTTTACGTTTCAAAATTTAATTTATTCATTTTATTTCGCATTAGTGGATTTTATTTATGATTTTAAAATTGTTTTTAATCAATTCCGCGTCTCGTAATAAGTTCGGGTTTCCTAAAACTAAATTCTTTGCCACATTATTTTATGTTTTGCGAATTTTCTCGTTTTATCAAATATCTCCGTTCTTATTAAGAGGGCGTAGGATCGAATAAATGTAGATCATTTACATTTATTGGCACAGGGAGGGTCAACTAAAACAAATGAAAGTACAAATGGCATGCAGCAATTTTATTTTCTTTGTTGTATTATGATTTGTGTGATTTAAATTTAAGAGCGGTGCAGCTTATTTAAGTCGTTATTGTACACATATTTTCATGTGGACCTTATATTTTATTGAAATGTTACGTGTATGTAAAAGAAAAGTTCCATATTGTAGAAACTGTGGTTTTTACGATTGAGGGATTTTTACCCAAACTTTTCCGCCTTGCGACTCTTGTACGGAAAATCGGAAAAAGTCATCTAAATAGTTTCGAAACAGCTTGTTTGATTTTCATCGAGCAAGCCCAGTAGGTATTTTATTATACTGACCATTTAAATTTGAAAACGACAAGGTTATAAAAGTCAAATTCGACCTTTTACAATCGTGTCTTTTTTAAATTTAAACGCCGTTGTTTTAACACTTGTGTAATGGTTTTAGTATTATATTTTCTATGATAGATGTTTTTTATTGGTTATATTTAAAAATANTAGTTCTTAGAATCCGAACCCGATAAAAAAAATAAATATTATAAAAAAAAAAATCAATTTTCCTAAATAACTAAGTATTTCAAGTGCAAATTTAAACAGTTCACCATTTCATACGATTTTGACAGACATTGTAGAATCAAAGAAGACAGAATTTAAGCAGGTTGGGTTTGGTTTACAATGTAAAAATTAAAATATTTGCTTGATCTGTCATAATTAAAAAGGGGTACACACTTTTTTTTTAAGCTTATTAGTCTTATAACCTTTAAATGATACATTAGAACCTTATAAAATACGGAAAGTTTCGTTTTGAAGCCATTTGAAAGGATCATTTACAAAACGATCAGTATAATTTTTGTTCAGTAGTTCTGCACGCGACTTAAAACCGAACAAAAAGAAGAACATCATGGAACATCAATAAACATAACCTAGGTAAAATAAACGTCAAAAGATAAAAGTAAAATACTTAAAAATACCTTTTGAATCAATCAAATAACGTCTAGAACAAATAAATGTAATAATAGGAGTGTCGTATATTATTTAGTTAAAAAATGCAACCTAATTATGTGGCTTTGTATAATGAACAGTTTGAGCTTCCACCTGAGCTTTGTGCAAAGCCTTTGGCTTTAGTAGGGGTTTCAGGGTTGGACACAGTTAATAATGCCATTCATAAGACTATCTGGGAAAATCTTAGCAGTAACCGCCGAGTTGAGAGATCCCCGGTACTGTTTAAGCTCATTAGTAATGCTCAAGAATTCCCTGTAGTCAAACCAAAAAGGAATTCCTATGAATGGTATATTCCAAAGGGTATTTTGAAGAAGAATTGGCTAAGAAAACATCTCAGCGATATACCCTCAGTTATAGTAATTTTTTATGATTTAGACTGGAATGATTTGCAATGGAATGAGAAAATTATTGAATGTGCATCTAGGGTACAATCATTGAGGTAAGTAATTTTTAATACCTGCATTAATACTCTATTTAAAGGAGATTTGAGTAATTAATAAGGGTTGGCCCATTGGCAATTGTGAAATACAAAAAATAAAGCTGTTTATTATTGTTGTTAGTATTATTTCCGGTGTATATGAAAAGTTTTCTCAATCTTAAATTTTATGATCCACAAAACTGAACATGAACGTCTTTATCGTTTCTGCATCAGCTTTGATGTGAATTTTACTGTTTTGTGTAAAATATAATTTTAAAGGAATTTTATACATTATGTTTCCGATTGACCACTTCCGGATTTGAAATGATGTTCATTATCCCAAATTTGAATTATTAGTTACATTAAATCAAGTATTTCTTTGTTTCTGTTTATCCATCACGCAAAATAACGACGCAAGGAAATTTTCATCAAAAAATAATGATTTCAAAAAAGCTTAATGTTCCCTATTTATTTATATTTTCTTTTTTATTCTTATGGACCAATTACTAAAGTCCATATTGTTTTGAATGATAATTGTTAGAGCCTTTTAAATAAATTTGTAACACAAACTAAATTCATTTGTGACGAATGAACCTAACTATCATTCCGTGGCGCAATTTTCCTACGATGTTATCAATTACCCCGCATCCCCCTACGACTTCCGTTCACTGTTTTAGAGCCGCTCTCGAAGGGAGGAACACCAGATTGGTCGTTGTTCTTTTACAAAACACTCCCCCATTACCAGCAGGAGAGGACTCTTTAAGTTCAGAGAGGGCTATTGCCCTGTGTGCCAGTTGCGAGATCAGTGCAAAATCCCTCTTTGTTTTACCTCACGGAGATCATTTGCAGGGCTATATAGTCCGTTTGGAGAGTGCTTTTTATGACTTGGCCCAAAATTATTACCACATGGAAGCGAAACATGTCGAAAATCATAAAGAGTATCTCAACAAGAACACTCATCAATATTTATTCGTCAGGCATCAATTCAAAATGGGCTTCCTTAACGAACTTAAACAAGACATTCACACCGCCCATAAGTATGGTTTGTTTAATAGCCAAAAAAGTACATGTAAAGAGTTTTTTTTTTGAAGGCATTACACTTACGCGTACAATAAACTACTTGAGATTAGGATCGTCGACACGAATGCAATGGAAATCCAAACTGTCGCCGGTTTTATCAATTACAAATTGTGCAAATTGATGTTTACTTTGAATTTACCGCGAGACGCCATTTCCCAGTTTAAGGCGCATGCGGAAAGGTTTAAGTCAAGAATTGGTTTTAAGGAGTTAGCTTTTGAACATTACGCGTGGCTTTGTAAACAGTAAGGAAAATTTTTGGTTTTTGAAGTATACATGATGTCCTAAACATGTTTCAAGAAAATTAATCCTTTTCTTGGAATATTTTAGAAACATCTTATTACTTACATACAGGGCATTCCAAGAAGTTGTCGTAAGTTGGAAGAAAAAGGTAGAAGACCTGAAGGGTTTTTTATAGTATTAGATTGTAAATCTGTTCATCTCATTAAATAGACAGTTGAATAAAAAAAAATAAGATCTTTTACTATCTTACTTCCTCTTGAAACTCTTCCTTGGAATAGTCTGTACGAGACCTTGTTTTGAAACGAAGAAAATTTTAGATACAGCATTTTCGGTGATATTTTTGACGAAGCTGTTAGATTAGGATTACCGGCTGTTCAAACCCAGCATCCCGGAGTTTATTACCAACAAGCAGCCCAGTATGCTATTCAAAGAAAAAAATCGTGTCTCGAACTTTGCAATGTAAATAATATTTCTTTAGTAGTTTTAAATGAAATCTATTAAGGGGATTGTTCCGTTTGGTTTAGAACGTCACTGCATATCCTACAGCTCCAGATCCCCTTGAGGGTCTGGACCATTTAGAATTCTACGGGCAGAGACCCTGGAGACCTGGAAAACTGAACATGGACAATCCGGATCCCCAATTGGAGAAAAAAGGAATCCAGGCTCTGCAGTTTTTGGAAAAACAAGTGGCTCATTCCGTAAGTAAATTTCATGAATTACAACCATCAAAAAATATATTTAACTCAATCGTAAATAATGTTTTTAACTTTAACAGAATCTAGGTAAGTACTAAGGTAGTGTTTACTTGATCTTAAATTTTAAATATTAATCTGAAATTTCATTTTCAATTTTCCATCCACTACAAACTACCTCAAGATAATGAGGGAAAATTTTTGTTGCAGTTGTCACAATTTTTCTTCATTAACTTGAGGTAGTTTGTAGTGGATGGAAAATTGAAAATGAATTTTCACCTTGTAATATTTCATATCAACCACTATTAATAATTAAATTTTATATACTAATTAATGTCATACATAACCCTAGAACTTATTATTACTTGTTGTGACTATTTATTTCACTGACCTTTTAAACGGTGATGTTACACGTTAGACTTTGCTGACCACTGAAACATACGCGATCGAACAACTACCTCGTATAAACCTTGTGACTGACTAATACCCTTATTAAATATACCCTCGAGAAGCAAAGCATGCGTATAGATACACAACGAACTAGAGGAGTGGGGGTATACACTGTCGTATAACACAATGCTATTATACATTTGTCTACTACATATTTCCTTTTATAAAAATACTATCAGATAAGGAAGATACGTTGTATTATTAATTAACGTGTTTTATTATTTGTGATATTGACATGGTTTTTTGGAATATATAAAAAGTTTTTAACAAGCAGAAAAACCAGTTTCGTACGATAATTTCAAATCTTTGCCATTGAAATTACATATTTATATTTAAACAATTTTAATAAGAAAATAAATTTAAATTTATATCCTTGGCAGAATGTAATAATTTCGTTATATGGACTGGCTGTATCTCAATATAAAACATACAAATGTCCAAGAACAAGACGTTATTTAGTCGTTCAAATGGCGGAGGAATATTTCGAATTTAGAGATTATGGAAAGGCTTTAACGTAAATGCATTCCATCGAAAGAAAAACATGAAATATACTACAAGCGTGTTTTTTTTTTGTAGTCTTTTTACGCATATGATTTGGGACTATCGACTAGAGTGTTGGTGGTCAATATTGTCGCATATTTTGCAAAAGGCTTTGCAGTGTGCCTTTTTAACAGCTACAGTCCAAGATTATGTTACGATATCTTTGGAGCTGTTGGGTAAAAGTATCACGACTACTACTGAATACAAGGCTCAAGTTTACGAAAATCTAATCAGAGTTTTAAAAGTAAGAAAACAAATTATTTTAAATAAGTGTTACATCCGCAATAACGTTTTTAGAAACAAATCCCTAATCCTGTTTTAAATTTGCCTTCTTACGACGTTCATACTTCGTTAAACTTGTGGAAAAAGGTTTTCGAAAGTGAATCAATTCACTTAACTGTGGATATGAATAGTGTTGTGTCTTGTATCGAAACAAAGGCACGATTTTTAAAGGATAAATACGAGGCGGATCAAAATGTTGTACTCGAAGTGTTTATAAGGTAAAGATCATTAATAATTTCACAAAACAGTTACAATATCATCAAAATCTTCAGCGAAATATTTAATAAACTATTAGACAGTTGCTTCTGCCAAATGGTCATTTTCAAATGTACAGGCAATACTATTGTCATTTTCAAGAATCAGACAATATGACTGTTATTTTCAAGAGTGCAGACAATAATAACCTTAGTTTCAAGAGTGCAGACAATACAATAACAGTCATTTTCAACAGTACAGACAATCCGATTGTCATTTTCAAGAGTCAGATAATATTACTGTTATTTTCAAGAGTCAGACAATAGTATCGTATGTTTCAAAAGTGCAGACAATACAATTGTCATTTTCAAGAGTCAGACAATATGACTGTCATTTTCAAGAGTCAGACAATATGACTGTTATTTTCAAGAGTCAGACAATAATATCGTATGTTTCAAAAGTGCAGACAATACAATTGTCATTTTCAAGAGTCAGACAATATGACTGTCATTTTCAAGAGTCAGACAATATGACTGTTATTTTCAAGAGTCAGACAATAATATCGTATGTTTCAAAAGTGCAGACAATACAATTGTCATTTTCAAGAGTCAGACAATATGACTGTCATTTTCAAGAGTCAGACAATATGACTGTTATTTTCAAGAGTCAGACAATAATATCGTATGTTTCAAAAGTGCAGACAATACAATTGTCATTTTCAAGAGTCAGACAATATGACTGTCATTTTCAAGAGTCAGACAATATGACTGTTATTTTCAAGAGTCAGACAATAATATCGTATGTTTCAAAAGTGCAGACAATACAATTGTCATTTTCAAGAGTCAGACAATATGACTGTCATTTTCAAGAGTCAGACAATATGACTGTTATTTTCAAGAGTCAGACAATAATATCGTATGTTTCAAAAGTGCAGACAATACAATTGTCATTTTCAAGAGTCAGACAATATGACTGTCATTTTCAAGAGTCAGACAATATGACTGTTATTTTCAAGAGTCAGACAATAATATCGTATGTTTCAAAAGTGCAGACAATACAATTGTCATTTTCAAGAGTCAGACAATATGACTGTCATTTTCAAGAGTCAGACAATATGACTGTTATTTTCAAGAGTCAGACAATAATATCGTATGTTTCAAAAGTGCAGACAATACAATTGTCATTTTCAAGAGTCAGACAATATGACTGTCATTTTCAAGAGTCAGACAATATGACTGTTATTTTCAAGAGTCAGACAATAATATCGTATGTTTCAAAAGTGCAGACAATACAATTGTCATTTTCAAGAGTCAGACAATATGACTGTCATTTTCAAGAGTCAGACAATATGACTGTTATTTTCAAGAGTCAGACAATAATATCGTATGTTTCAAAAGTGCAGACAATACAATTGTCATTTTCAAGAGTCAGACAATATGACTGTCATTTTCAAGAGTCAGACAATATGACTGTTATTTTCAAGAGTCAGACAATAGTATCGTATGTTTCAAAAGTGCAGACAATACAATTGTCATTTTCAAGAGTCAGACAATCCGATTGTCATTTTCAAGAGTCAGATAATATGATTGTTATTTTCAAGAGTATAGACAATAATATTGTCACATTCAACAGTTAAGACATTTATTATTAACTTTTTTGAAGAATCAAGACAGTGTTATTGTTTTGAAGAGTACAGACGATAGTATTGTCTTGTACTCATGAAAATTACTATTTAGTGAAACCAATTTTTAGGTGATTTATTAAATATTTCGTTGAAACAATGCACTGTTTTATAGTTTATTTAATATTAATTAGTTTTAATATTGCAATATCTTTATCCAATGTTTTTAATGAAGTATTTTAAACAGTAAGGGGGAAAATTGATTTAAATTACCCTTTTTGTTTAGAAGTACATGTCCGTTTCTCTTGAGATTTACGAGACTTTCTGTGACAATAAATACGAGTGAATACAGTTCAGAATTTGCAGTGAACGAAACAAAATTTAACAATCCGAACTTAACGTTCGAAAGTAACGAAGTCAAAAAGTTTATTGTTGAATTTCTGCCCGATTCTGAAACGACAGGCAAAGACATGCAGGTAAAACCGTTTTTCTACCCCTCCCCCGTGATCTTATAGCGAAAAAATCTTTTTAGATAAATTCTATAAATTTGTATCTGGGCATTCCAAAAGAGTGTTGTGTTGAGTTATCTTTCAATGGCAATTTGGCGGTTTCGACCGGAGGAATCCAAGAATTTTCGCGGTTCAGAAGGAAATCTGCGTCCCACGTGGACTTCGAAAGTATTCTACCCCAGTCATCGGCGCTGGTCGTACCGAGAAAATCGAAACTGAATGTTAATTATGATCACAAACAGCCCGCACTTGTTGGCGAATGGTTTAATATAATAATCACCGTTAGTAATGAAGATATTGCTCCTATAAGTAGCGTTAATGTACTGGTTAATCTTTCCGAAGGGGAGATGGATGGAAGCAGTAAGTGATAATCAATAATATTGATTTTCTTATTATGTTTGATTTTAACGACGAGTGATAATTTCTAGCCGAATTCTGTCTCAACACGGCTGCTAAAAGCGAACTGCTTCCCCTAAATATCGGCCTACCAGACTTAAAAGTTGGCGAGAGCAAATCAATTAACCTTTACATTCGAGGTCACAAAGCCGGTCAGAGGACAGTGGTCTTTAAAGTATCCTACGTCCTCGAGTCCGATAGGTCCGGAACAAGTATTAGCGAAGATACTCTACATGTACCGTTTGTGAAACCGTTCGAAATCAATACCAAATTTTCTAATACTTTATTCGAAGACATTTCAAAGTTTTACGTGGACGAAGAGTTCGTAGTAACACCGATCATTAACTGCGTCTCACCCTGGCCGATCGTTATTGAAAATACTTCGCTAGATTTTGTAAGTACTAATTTTAATTACAATTTCAAATTTTCAAGACAAAAGTTTAAACAATCGAGAACTTTTGCAGTCCCTTACACTTGGCATAGAACTCATTTCTAATTGAATTTTATTTTTTTTTGTGTGCTTAGGACGATAATTTTACAAATCCACAGAATACACATGAATCAGTTATTTAATTTTAACCATCTAAATTCTAAGAATCGCTTAAATTATGATAACATCAGTGCAATTATTTGTCAAAGGGTCTAAGGGTTGTCTACAGGATACTAAAGCCCTTAATATTAAATCATTATTTTTCCGGGGAAGTTGTTCTAGGCCAACAATAATTTTCTGTATCATATCTCTAGAAGTCATTTAGGATAGGATTATGTCTATGATATAAAATTTGTCAGAAAGTCTGAGGGTTATTTATAGGGTGCGAAACCCTCCAATATTAAATTATTCTTTTTCCGGGGAAGTTGTTTTTGTCTCACAATAATTTTTTGTATCCCAACTCTAGAAGTAATTTAGGATAGGGTTATGTCTATAAGATGGTTTGTCAGCGAGTCTGAGGGTTATTTATAGGGTGCGAAACCCTGCAATATTAAATTATTATTTTTCAGGGGGAGTTATTCTTGTCCCACAATAATTTTTTGTATCCCAACTCTAGAAGTAATTTAGGATAGGGTTATGTCTATAAGATGGTTTGTCAGCGAGTCTGAGGGTTATTTATAGGGTGCGAAACCCTGCAATATTAAATTATTATTTTTCAGGGGGAGTTATTCTTGTCCCACAATAATTTTTTGTATCCCAACTCTAGAAGTAATTTAGGATAGGGTTATGTCTATAAGATGGTTTGTCAGCGAGTCTGAGGGTTATTTATAGGGTGCGAAACCCTGCAATATTAAATTATTATTTTTCAGGGGGAGTTATTCTTGTCCCACAATAATTTTTTGTATCCCAACTCTAGAAGTAATTTAGGATAGGGTTATGTCTATAAGATGGTTTGTCAGCGAGTCTGAGGGTTATTTATAGGGTGCGAAACCCTGCAATATTAAATTATTATTTTTCAGGGGGAGTTATTCTTGTCCCACAATAATTTTTTGTATCCCAACTCTAGAAGTAATTTAGGATAGGGTTATGTCTATAAGATGGTTTGTCAGCGAGTCTGAGGGTTATTTATAGGGTGCGAAACCCTGCAATATTAAATTATTATTTNGATCCAAAAAGATCGAAATCGCGATCCGCGTCTGGCAGTTTCGACAGAATACAGACCACTTCGAATTATTTTATTTAATAGAATTGTTATTAATTTTCCTGGAATCTATAAGTAAAGAACTTTTTTCTGTATGTTTTTCAAAATTTTAGGCTCAATAGTTTAGATGATAAGGTAGGGGGGGGGGTAAGATCACTTTTCATCTATTTTGTTCATCATCATAAGGTCAGTCCTAAGACTGGTTGGACACGTACCTCCACTCTTTCCTGTCCTGAGCTCGTGATCTCTTCCACCCTGAGTACTGAAAGAGCTGCTGCCCTCTTTCAGGGACTTGTCTTAGTCTGGTTTCTCTTTAAGAACCCACCCATTATGGTTGAACCTATGGTCCGGCTCCCTGAATCATCGAAACTCTCAAGCCGATCCACCCAGTCTAGTTTGCCTTTTCGTTTGACATGTCACTTGGTACAGTTTGCAAAACTTTTTTTTTTAGTTCCTGTTGGCCTCCCGAAAAATGATCCCCATGTTCATTGGGTCACAGAAATTCATACTTAAAAAATCTTAATCCGACTTTAGGATAGGGTTATGTCTATAAGATGGTTTGTCAGCGAGTCTGAGGGTTATTTATGGGGTGCGAAACCCTCCAACATTAAATTATTCTTTTTCCGGGGAAGTTGTTCTTGTCCCACAATAATTTTTTGTATCTTACCTCTAGAAGTTTGTCTATGAGACAATTTTTCAGAGGGTCTGAGGGTTATTTATAGGGTGCGCAACCCTTCCATATTAAATTATTATTTTTCCGGAGAAGTTGTTTTTGTTCAGGCCTATCTTCACATTCACACACATCAAACTGGTAAAAGTCCTACATAGATCTCATTGCTTTTTGTTCTTATTTGTATGGTAGATGCCGCCTGTGGAATCAATTGATGAAAGTGTTCACAGTCAGGTTAAAGGGTTGATTTTAAACGACAAAGAATCTGGGGCGGAAGTCTTTCTTGCAAAAGTGAAGAGAAATTGTGAAAGTCCTGTCAATGTGGGCCAGTACACCATAAAATGGAAAAGGTAATAAATTTAATTTTAACTGGGTCTCTCCCGCAAATAGTACGCGACTGTTGCTTACTTGACGATGAGGCAGAAGTAGAAACTTTTTTCCTTTCCCGAGCTTACAGCAAGAGCACTCGTCAACCATAAATCGGCTAATGTTCGGATATTCATTAAATATAAGCTAACAACCCTCTTTTTTTATCAATGATGCTATATAAGAATTCATTGAACAAATTTAGATTACATTTTATAGAGAAAACGGTTTGAGTGCAACCAGTCAGCTCATGATACCAGGATTTGAAATCGAATGGATTCCATTAGACATTAAACTTGATTTGCCAGCTTTTGGTTTACTTCACACACCCCTTCTTGTAACTTACACTCTATACAACAGATCTCATCAACTTTTACAATTAGAAGTAACCGTAGAGGGTGGAGATGCGTTTATGTTTGCGGGTTACAAGCAGGTAAAGCGACAATGTTTAATCATGAGTTTAATTTAAAATCAATAAATAATATCGATCTCCAGATTCCAATATCGATCTTGCCGGAAAGTTTTAAAACTCTCGACTATAATTTGTATCCGGTCGTTGCCGGTAATATTGTTTTGCCGAAAATTATGATTACTGTTCCCGAAAACAACACAGAGGGGCCCTCATTAAGACAAAATCAAGTAAATGCCCTATTGGATAGGGCGCTTCCTACTCATTTGTTTATAATGGTACGTGATTGTTCTGTTTTTTTTTCTTACAATGATTAAAAGATTGTTGAATGTGTTTTGTTTTGCAAATGTGTTTTTCAGCCTCAAGTTAAAGGATCCCCCGAATTTCCGAAAGCGATCCAAGATGAAAATTTACTAAAAGTTGTTTGAATTTTTAAATAAAGTACATATTTTACATTTTGTATTTTGTTTTTTTTAATTATTACAATAAAAATTTGTTTATCTTAATATTGTTCTTTTTTTCACGTATAGAGAAATGTTAAAAGATTTACCACGTTTTGTTCAGACAATAGAATTCTTAGAAAGTACTACAAACGGCACAGTGAACGCCATCTGTAGCACGATGCTACATTTTAGGATTACGTGCTACAGATGGCGTTTACTGCGCCATTTGTAGTATTTTCTAAAACGCACTGTTAAGAGAGCAGGTGAAAGTTGGTCAGTGTTCTGTCGGAGCTGTCTGCGACGCGCTGATGAGATCCAAAAAGATCGAAATCGCGATCCGCGTCTGGCAGTTTTGACAGAATGCAGACTACTTCGAATTATTTTATGCATATAATTGTTGCTCGGAGTGTCAATAGATGTGAAAACCAGATTGATGTTGATAATTTTTAGTCAAACATTGTGAAATTTCAAATTTTAATACTAAAAGTTCTAAGTTTTCACTTCTATCGGCAGTCCCTATAACTGCCAATTTTTTT